AATGGACTTCAAAAGGACAAGCCCCAATGAACTAGAGATCAGAAGGCAAGAAACAAGAATTAGTTTTATGATATCAGACAAAAACCCTGTCCTAACAGGAGCCATTATCTTCATTGTATAGAGCTGTGATTCAGAAAAGTCAGCGCCCCATCAAGAAAGCACAGCACTTCCTAACAAGTACAGGGTGTTGAACAATCTATAGACGACTGTGTCACACATATTTGGGGCTATCTGAGATAGACCATACTTCTGAAAAGTCATTAGGAAGTATCCATATGTTTTTATAACTCAGCTTACATGCATTAAATGTGTGGAACTAAACTATCCAACCCTGATATAATGATAAAAAGAGAGCTATGAGGTCGGGCCATGGTGGTTACACGTCTTTAATCCCAGCACTCGGGAGGCAAAGGCAGGTGGATCTCTGTGAGTTCGAGGCCAGCCTGGTCTACAAGTGCTAGTTCCAGGACAGGCTCCAAAGCTACAGAGAATCCTTGACTCAAAGAATAAAAAACAAAACAAAACAAGAGCTACCATATTTCAAGGGACCTGAAGAGGCTGAAGGCTATCTATCTACTCTTGAGTGATGCTCAGATTCACTAAGCCTCCTCTTCCTACATCCTGCCTTGCTCTTCCATCCATCTATATTCATCCGCCTTGAGGTACCCTTTGTCTTATGCCAGCCAGTTCAAGCAGTCCTCACCCAATATAATGAAAGTCCTAGGGTGTTAGTTTCAAGTCGCTTGGTGTCTGCCTTTGTAAACGACCTACATTATCTTTAATGCTGCACTGAATTTCATTGGAAATCTAGCCGAGATTTGCAACCTACTTGGCAGCCATTGTCACCCTATTGAATGCATATATAAATTCATCTCAGGTATACAGAAATCCTCATTACTTTGAGAACTGGAAAGATGTAAAACTTAATGCCTATTCTCAAAGATTGGATTACGACAACGAGCACTTGGGTATTCATCTGTAGAAAAGAATGATTAAAATTGAGATGAATTCGGAGGTGCCCTTCCAACTTTAATACCCTGTGACTCTGTTCTTTCTACATCCTTGAATCATTGAGAAATTCACATGGCCCCGTGAAACAAGGCAAGCAAGGCAAGTAGGGCTGGGCTCTTCATGGCCAAAGGTATTTCTTAGGATACTGAACGAAAAATGCAACTGCGTTTTGCAACCTATACAAATGTGTTCTAGTTAATGGGAGGGAAGAAAAAATTCAATCCAAAGTGCCAGCAATTCCTCTGTGAGCTAGTGCGGCAGAAAGAGAATGTGTGGGGTCACTGAAGCATCAAGTTACAGACTAAATTAGAGGTCTGCAGAAGAGTGGTAGGGTCTAATCATCCACAGGCTGAGGCTGCCAGAACGGGATCCACCACTGTTACTCTCAAGACACGAACGAAGGCTAGGCTCACAGCAGGCCAGGAACTTCCAGCATCTTTTTCTCTATTTTTTAAAAGATTTCTAGTTCCAAATCGATCTTTATGGAATTATTATCTTGAAGCCCTGACTTCTGTCAAATTAAAATTTTCATGAAAAGTGATCAAAACCTAAAGTTTAAATGTCTCACCACAGAGAAAAACATTGTGGTTTTTGGTTCGTATGAAAAACATGTGTTACATATATAATTATGGAAGTCTCAGATCTAAAGCACACACCATACACAAAACCTTTGGGAAATAACTTTTGCCTCGCCAGTAGAATTTGTAGCATAATACTGTGTTCTGTCTATAACCATGCCATCAAAGGAGCGCTGTGCCAAGGCCGGCTAGCAACAGGGCATTTCTTCACAGACTGTGACCAGACCTCAAACAAGGATCTACAGGAATAAAGTGAGGTCAGTTTTACAGCATACAACATTCTCAGGACTGGTTGGGCTGAAGCATGTGCATCTGCACTAGTTTTCCTCAGGGAAGGTTAATTTTAGAAAGAAGAAAAATTTTTGCCAGGAAAACAATCACATTGGCTCAATAACTAGATAGCGTCTTTTCTCAAATGTTCAAACGCCTTTCCGGCTTCCCCATCTCTAGCTTGTCCTTAATATTCTTGAAAGGAGGTATCATGCATCACCCCCATTTCAACACATCTCATTCCGTGAAAAGAAATAGATGCTGGAATAGTCCAGCTGTGTGACAATATGTTAACTAGCCCCTTTTCAGGAGACACAAATAATCTGTCTTCCCTGACAGTTAGCCTCTGATGACTTCACAGGTACTTAAAACAGCCCAGGAACATATAAAGATACAAAAACTAGTGGCTGTACAATGGGAAGCTTACAGGACAGTCAGAGAAGACCTGGGCTCCCACAGTTGGAAGCATTAGCAGGACTTGGGTTAATTTACATGGTCCTTTCTTTTTTTCTTGCCTGGAGATTGGTCTGTCTGAATCTTTTGCCTTTAAGTAAGCAACAAGTGAACCAGCCAAAGGCCTGCATTCCATCATTGACAAAAATCAAGGGACAGTCAAGAGGAAGACGTTTGGTTCCCAGCAGGATAGGCCTCCACCCTTTCCAGTCACGGAGTATTTATGAGGAAAAACTTAAAAACGTGACCTTTTAAATCTGGTCTCTTAGAAGCTTTGCACTTTCCCCTATTCCTATAGCTGAGTTTCAAAATATCACTAGCCCTCCCTTCCCCAAACTGCCATGTAAGAAACGAGAAACGAGGCACCGCAGCGAAACAAACCACCAGCTCGGGAGGCTTTCTCCCACGTGGGTCTTATATGTTCAAGAGGAGAACTGATGAGGAGGAGCGCACTCCTGGCAGAATTTTTAGATATAAAGTACATATACATACACAGCCCCCCTCTTCCTCTCTCCCTCTACTTCTCCCCCTCTCCCTTCAGATCTGAATCAAGATTGTAGGGTGGGGCCTGAGGGTTTTTTTTTTTTTTTTCCCAAGGCTCCTGGATTAGAGATACTGCTTCAAGGTCGAATAAACTTGTAGCGGTTGCTGTAGCCTTGAAAACATTGTAAACTTCTCAGTGTTTTAAACTGGGAAAGGGGGTAGGGTAGAGGCTGCGGAATCCCAACTTGCTGTTCAGTGGGGACACAAAGATAAGGTGGTATATATTGCAATGACCTCATTCAAGAGCTGATACTCCTTCCAAAGTCAGGACAATGATGCAAGGTGAGGGTAGGTTCTGGAAGATGAAGAATTGCAGTATTTCAGACGCCAACTTATTTCCAGACCCCAGGGGCAATTAGTGCAACTGTGTATCACACACCTGGCAAGGGTGGAAGATCTTATGCCACCCACTCGCCCTCAGCACCCAGCGTCTGCGCGCCGGATTCCTGGAGAGGTCTTGGGAAAGAAGTGAAAGTGAGGGGTTGATGGTAGAGAGGAGGCAAAGGTCCCACGGGCCCCAGAGCAGAAACCCAGAACGCGCAGGATGGGAGCTCTTGCCCGTCACCCAGGACAAGGCTTCAGCTTGGCGCTGAGGACCCCGGAGAAGGGCAAAGGAAAAAGATGAAGAGGTGGCAGCTCCGGGAAGGTAGGAACGCACCCGGCACGGTTGGTATCGCAGCTCCTGGGCTTCATCGAGTCACCCCTTACCTTAAGGTCCAAGTCACAGCCTGAGACTCCCGGAGGGGCAGGGCTCGGTTGTCAGTGTCTCCAGCCAGAGGCTTCTGGCATCAAAGGCTTTCCGATCTTCTAGCTACCATCCTGGGGCTCGCTTCTGTGGCCTGCGGCCCTTGCACCTCGCTCCCCTGGCCGCCGGCGTCCGCCGAGCCGCTCCCCCGCTGTTTATTCCGGGAGCCAGGCCCCTCTCCTCCGGCTCCCCGCCTCCAGCGCGCGTGCACTCCTCCCCCGGAGGCGCACTCCTTAGCAAGCGGGCAGCGCGAGTGGTCCAGGAAAACCCGACGCTGGACAACTTTAGAAAATCTGTTTAAAACCTTTCACCTGCGCGACGAGGTTCAAAGAACTATTCGTCTCCTTCTCCCGCCTCCACTGAGTGTCTTCACCCCATTTCCCAACGCCTGGCATTCTCGTGAGCACCGTTCTGAGACTCTTCTGCCAGGCATCTACATTTTTTCTAAAATAAACCTGTCGTTGGTTTTAAAATGTAGATATCCCCCCTCTCTTTAAACTTAGGGTGCTGGGAGTACCACTGATTTCAGGGGGGATATATTCAGCAGCACAAGTCAGGGCAAGTCTCCTTAGCCAGTACTATAGATGTGTGCCACCTGTCAGGGCCGGAGCGCAGGATGGAGCCCTTAATTATTCTCTGGTTTTGGCTACTGAGTCTGTCTCATCTTCCTCTGCCCCAGGAAAAACCCAGTTCTGGGGCTCCAATTCCAGGGAGAAGCAGATGGCTATGTTCAAGGAAGAGAGTTCTATTGGAGGACGAACTCGCAATGAGTGCAGCCTACTTAATAATACAGCAGAGGAGAAAGAATAGGAAGCAGGCCAGGAAACATCACCTCTCACTAACGTGAGGGAGCTGAAAGTGATGTAATCCCAACGGGACTGTGGAAGACGAGCTGTCAAGTGGTATCCTAGTCATTCGTTCACCTATGAGTATAATGCATATTTATGGAATAAGTTATTTACAGTCATGTTGTAACTCAAGGGCTGACCAGAATTAACTTGGTAACCAGTTTATAGCAACGCCCTGGAAAATACAGATAGCCACTGAAGAGACTGCACATTAATCCCTTATCATTTCTAAATTTATCAAATAGCTTTCTAATCTTAGGGTCTTTAAAAGGAGGCAGTTATTAGAGCTGTCAGATTTCCATATTGAGCAGGAAGTAGAATCGTGGGAGATGAAATCATCAAACATGTCACTGCAATTAGTTCTGGAGACTGAAGCGCTTAGGAAGTATCTTTGCGGACATGACATGAAGGTGACCATAGGACCAGTCAACCGGCTCTTCAAAGCAGGTGCTATGACGGAGGATGCCCACAGGGGGCAGTATGGATGAGACAATCTGGCGGCAACAGTAGATGGATAGCGTCTTCCAGAAGGGAAAGTAACACCGTGAGAAAGCCAAAAGGAAAAGGTCGCTTGGCAATTCAAAGAACTTACAGTTCATCTCTTGGGGGTAAGACTGCAGATGGTTGGGAAGAGTGGACTCAAGGCAGAGAGCAAGTCAGGCAGCATCTCTGGGCCATGTTTTTAAAGACTGCACTTTATTTCACAGATGAGGAGATGCCGACATATTAGCACAGAAGTGTGATATCAGATTTTTATTTGAGAAGAAACTGCTGGCTGAGGCAGAGCAGAAATGAGGAGCGGTGGAGCACAGGAAGAACCCAGAAGAGCGCTACAAAGGACATTTACAGCAGCAAACACCGGCAAATCCAACTTCAGTCCCATGAAACATCCTCAAAGGGATAAGCCTTTCCTAGAGAAAGGGAGAAGGCTGGGGTGGTAAAGAATCGTGAAAAGGGAAAGGTAAACAGAAATGAGAGAGAACACAACCTTTTAAACCTGTCTTATTTATATAGTGATTATCTCACTTATTCAGGGATAGGAAAGGGTGTTGGTGAGAACCAGAAAATAGCTAACAGGTCAATGTGCTTCCACTGAAGTTTGTTAGCGTGATCATGATTCCCCAGCCCCACATTAGGAAAAGAGAATGCTCCTCCAAGTTTTCCATTGACTGCCCTATACTAGCATACTAGCACACACACAATAAATAAAATGTAATCATCTTTTAAAAGGTTGATTTGTAACTGAACAGTGGAATAAATTACAGGGAAATTTGACACATAGAGTAACTTTGGAGTTATATGTATAGATATACATATGTATGTATGTATATGAACTGTAGTGATTTTAAGGAAAATGGTCCCCAAAAGGAGTGGCACTTTTAAAAGGTGTGACTTTGCTGAAGTAAATGTAGCCTTGTTAGAAGAAATGTGTCACTGTAGGGGTGGGCTTTGAGGTCTCCTTTGCTCAAGCTACACCAGTAAGACAAACAGTACACTTCCTGTTGTCTGTGGATCAAGCTCCTTCTCCAGTACCATGTCTGCCTGCATGCTGCCATGTCTCACCATGATGATAATGGACTGAACCTCTGAAACTGTAAGCCACTCTATTAAATGTTTTCCTTTATAAGAGTATCTGTGGTCATGGTGTCTCTTCACAGCAATAGAAACATTAACTAAGACATGGACTATATATGTATATAAATGGAATATCTTACCATATGTGGAATATGAGTATCTTAGAATCTTAGGGGTGTTTAGGATCCCTAGAATTAAGTATGTGAATGTTTCAGTTCCTTTCAGAAAATGGTTACAGTACTTGCATATAACCGATTCACCTACAATCCTATACTTTTTTTTTTTGCTGTTGTTGTTTGTTTGGGGGACAAAGTCTAGCTATGTAGGAACTGCTGATCCTCCTGCCTCCATATCCCAAGTGACAAGATGACACATATGTACCACCGTGTCTGGTTCCAATCCCACACTTTAAATCACCTCTAAGTGACCTATCACATCTGACTAAAGGTAAACTGCAGCTATACTCAGTTACTTAGACAATAATATGCACATGTTTTAAACTTAAGCACATTTTTTTAAACTTTCGTATTTGTGTGTGTATGTATGTGAACATGTCACAGCATGAGTGTGGAGATCTGAAGACAAGTTGTGGAAGTTAGTTCTTTTATTTCACTATGTGGGGTCTGGGAATCAAACTCAGGTCATAAGTTCATGGGAGCAAGTGCTGAGCTACCTCACCAGCCCTAACTACATTTTTGGTTCATGGTTGATTGAATCCCTGAATATAAAACCTGTAGGTATAGACTCCATGCATGTGTAGAGACAACTGTTTATGCACGTACATACACACACACATGCACATGTGTATGGTGCATACATGGAAAGACACTGAGAAAGGTACGGTATACTCACTGAAAGGGATGGACTCATATGATCCTGGATGCTGAGGAGTCTCACAGTCCACTATCTCCAAGTTGAAGACCCAAGAAAACTTGATAGAATTCAAAGTCCTGAGAACCAGAAAGGATGGTAAAACATCTAGGAATCAGAACTACTAAGGATGGAAAATTGGTGTTTCAGTTTACAGTGTGACCTCAATTTTACTTCACCTTTTTATTTTGTCCAGACCCTTAGTGGATTGGCATCTATGTATCCATTGAAAAGGACTATCTGCTTTCCAATTAAAATACCAGTGTCTGTTTGAAGCACTGGCACCAACATACCTAGAAACAATGTTGACTTTACTTGGTATCTGAGCTCCTCATGAAATTAACTACCATTGCCTTGTCTTGATCATCTTTCATTTTTCCTTCCTGCAGTCTAGGATTTCTCTACTTAATGATAGAAAACACCCCTAACTTTGTGTTATAGATGTTATGATCAAGTAGACTCAGCATGTGTCTCTATTTTGATTTTTCAAAGAAACGAAGGAACCTAACCAAAGTCAGAGTCAATATAAAGCTGTCTACAAAACATCTTCCTCTACCCATACTGGAGAGTAGACATGGGACTGGAATAAAGACAGAGGTGCTGTTTGGACAAATGTCCCCCAAAGGCCCACATGGTATGCGTTTGATCACCTTTCTTTGGCACTGTTTGAAACTGGTGGTACTGTAGGAAGTGGGACCTAGTGGAAGAAAGTTGAGTCACTGGGTGCATGACCTTGAAGGAGCTATGTGGACCTCAGCCTCTCTTCTTCCTGGGTACCATGAGGTGAGTGCTTCTTTCTCCCCATGTCCCTGCTCTGATATCCTGCTTTACCACAGGTCCAAAAAAAAATGTATAAAAACCTACAAAACTGTGAGCAAAAATAAGCCTTTTTTTTCCTCATTTTTCGAGACAGGGTTTCTCTGTAGCTTTGGACCTGTCCTGGAACTAGCTCTGTAGACCAGGCTGGCCTTGAACTCACAGAGATCCACCTGACTCTGTCTCCCCAGGGATTAAAGGCGTGTGCCACCACCGCTAAAAATAAGCCTTTTAAAAACTCATTTATTACCGGGCATAGTGGCACATACCTTTAGCCCCAACACTTGGGAAGCAGAGGCAGGCAGATCTCTATGATTTCGAGGCCAGTCTGGTCTACAAAGAGTTCCAGAACAGCCAGAGATGTTACACAGAGAAACTCTATCTCTAAAGCCTCATTGATCTCTGATGTTTGTCAGTCAGAAAGCTGACCCCCATAGAGAAGTATTCGAGGAGGTTGAGGGCGTGGGGCAATTTTTTCACAAAGGGTACTCTAGAAAGACAACTTATTAGATGTTTACAATAAAGATAAAGGCGCAAATAATTAAATATGAGTTCATAAAGAATAATAAACATGTGGAGATACTAGATGAGCACAGTATAGGCAAGAAGGGAAAGAGTTCTGGCTACAGAGTCTTGAAGAATGCGTCACTAGGAGAAATAATGCTTGGGTCTTAGAATGTGTGTGTGTCAGAAATAGAGCTAGTCTGAGAGACTGACAAGATGATTACTTATTTGATGGGCTCACTTTTTGGTAATTCAGAGAAAGGATAAAGCTTCAGGGAGAGAGCTCAGGGAACAGTTTGAGATCTATGATACAGCCAGAAAGAAAATAGATTGGATGGAAAAGTTATTTCAAGATGTGGAATCCAAATGACTCAAGAAGTTGAAAACAGAAAGGTCAAGTGTGAGCATCATGGTAGACAACAGCAAGATTAAATGAGACAGTAAAAAAAAGGAGAGATTTGCTAGAGAACAGGGGTTCTGCCCCCTAATGTTGAACTTCAAATGCTGAGATACAGAGTGAAGGCAACCAAGAGGCAATTGATAATATGTTGTATGTTAGTATGATACCAGAACAGAGTAAGTTGCTATGGTGGTATGAGAGAAAATGGTCCTCAAAGGAAGTGGCAGTATTAGGAGGTGTGGCCTTGTTGGAGGAAGTGTGTTACTGTGGGGGTGGGCTTTGAGGTCTCTTTTGCTCAAGCTTCCCTCACCGTGACTGTCAGTCAACTTCCTGCAAGATGTCAGACCCTCAGTTATCTCTCCAGCACCAAGTCTGCCTGCACAGTACTGTGCTCCCGGCCTTGTTGATAAAACAGACTGAATTTCTGAAACTGTAAGCCGCACCTCAATTAAACATTTTTCTTTATAAGAGTTGCCATGGTCATGGTGTCTTTCCACAGTGATAGTAAACCCTAACTAGGCCAGTTGCTACTGTTTTAGACTTTAAAACTCTAGAGTCCATTGTTATTACAGGCACAATAAGATAAGCCAAGAGTATCACGTATTGAAAAAAGCACTAAGTGCCTATGTTAGATACCTGAATGACACTGAGTGGTCACCAAGCTAAGACTAGCTAGCCAAGGAAAAGAGCCAATAGAAACCAATATTATGTAGAAGAAAAACAATTTACATAGAGAGGTGACATCCAGTGTCAAAGCTGCACAGAAACTCAGTAATATGCCAGCCTTGGCAGTCACACCTCTAATTCCAGCCCTGGGGGAGCTGAGGAAGTAGAGTCTAGCGCTAAAGGCCAGCCCAGGCTATAGAGTAAGACTGTCTCAAAGAGAAAAAAAAAGGGAAACACACAATAGCTCTTCTCCTACTTAAAAAGAAGGGAAGGGAAGGGGAAACTAAGATATACTCCAGAACTAAAAGTGAGGGCTCTTGACTGGGTTTGAAGCTTGTTATCATTAGAAGGAGCATTCTTGGGGAAGCGGTAGGATTGCACTAGATAAGTTTTCCATTCTCAGCACTCGGCATTTTGTAACAGGTGTATCTGCTGTCTGGGGATGTTCTCGCATCACATGTTTAACAGTGTTCTTGGCCTCATCTCACTAGATAGCAATAGCACTTCTCCCCAATTCTGAAAGCCAAAACTACCCTCAGACATTAGGAATGTCTCCCCTCTTCCTTCTGTCCTTTCCCTGATGACCACATGGTAAGCAGTTTTGAACACTTGTTCCCAATGTGATATGTTGCCCGACTACAGGCCTAAAAACAGCAGGGAAGCCAGCTAACCGTGGACTTGGTACCTCTGAAACCCTGAGCCCAAGCAAGCCTTTTCCTCTTTACAAGTGATCATGTCAACTATACACTATAGTGAGAAAACACTGACAAGCAGACAAGCAGATGGGAGAGAGACAGGATAAACTTATTTTTCAAAATCATATTGGGAGGTACTAACACCTAATTGTTTATTTTTCTTTTCATCATTTGAAGATATTAGTTTATTAGTTAAAATGTCTTTGGGACAGGAACTCGCTGAAATCTTTAGTTCTAAAGAATAAACTAAAACTAGAAATGCTTTATTTGTAGAAGTAGAGATTCAAAATATTATTTATAGGACTGTCTAAGCGTTCCACATATTGGTAGATAGCCTGTGGTAAGAATATCTAATTAGCTTATATTGGGAAGCATCTTTCTTACTTTAATGTTATGACTTGGCCTACAGTAATGACATCCATAACACTGGCCATCAGTCCACAGATAGAAAAACCCTCTCCTATAAAGATGATCATATTTTTTATATTTTTATTTATTTTATGTGTGTATGAATGCTTTTTCTGCCTGTTTATATGTATGCCTGGTTCTTGCGGGGGTCAGAAGAGGGCATTGGATCCCCTGGAACTGGAGTTACAGGTGGTTGCTGTGAGCCACCATGTGGCTGCTGGGAATTGAACCTTGGTCCTCTGTTAGAGCAGCCAGTGCTCTTAACCAATGAACCATCTCTCCAGCCCAAAAGTTGATCTGATTTTTATGCCAAACAAACAAAATGCATTCAAGCTCCGTGTTTCTCTATTCCTTCAGTTTTATTTTACTAACTGCTGTTTTTGACACAGCGATTAAAAAACAAAACAAACAAACAAAACCCTGACGAAAGTAAGTACAAAAAGGAAGGCTTTAATCATGGCTCAAATCCAAAGTTATTGTGCATCACAGGAGTCAGGCTGCCGCCACGTGGAAAGGTTTGGTGGCAGCGGTTTAAGGAAGCTGGTCACAATGTGTCCACAGCCAAGAATGACGAATGCTGGTGTTTGACTCAACTTTCTCCCTTTTTTTAGTCTGGGACCTCAGCCCATGGAATGGTGCCACCTAGGTTAAGATGTCTTTTCACCACTTCAATTAGCCTAATCTAAAAAACTGCTTAGAGGCTAACTAATAATCCAGATAATTCCTCACAGGCATACGAGAGGTGACCCGAGAGTCTGTCAAGCTGACAATCAGTATTACCCACCACAACTCTACCCCTTGTCAGCTTGACACCCAAGCATGTCACTTATAAGTCATAACCTCCTATCCCGTGTCCCCTCGGCTCATAGCCATCTCATAATGGAAAATGCATTTCATCCAACTTCAAAAATCTCCAGTCTTTAACAATTCCAGTATTGTGTGTGTAATGATCTCTCCTGTTCCTTTAAGAGACAAGCCCTGTCCACTTCCTCCCACCCCCAGTCCGCTGAGGCAGGCAGATCTTCCTTCTTGCTTGCAGCCTGAGTCCTTTCCCTTTTCTGTCTCCCTCTCGAAGAGGCAGCTTCTGTCTCTCCCCACTTTCTCCCCTTCTGTTTGTCTCTCTCTCTCTCTCTCTCTCTCTCTCTCTCTCTCTCTCATCTCCTTGAGTCTCTTGGGCCAGCCCCACTTTATACCTACAAATTTCCTCAATAGATATCCCAAAGTTCTGGTGTCTCCAACACACTGTGGTCTCCACTACAGCTTAGGATTCATCTTCAAGTAGTATCCTGTCATGGCCTTCTTGGAAGACTCCAACCATGCCACACATTGCCTGGTCTCCGTAGCTCTCTGAAATCATGATGCAAGACTCCACAAACTTTCAATCTTCAATCTTTCATGCCTGCAAAACCAGGACCATATGGACAACATTGCCAAGTTTTGCTGCCAGGTTCTCACTGAATGAAGCACAATTAATAAAACTCACTGTATGCTTACCCGAGGTAAACACATCACCAGACAGTAGCTTTCCTAGACCAATGTACACCTGCATTCAAGTTAAAACTTTTGATGGGCAGAGTCTAACTCTCAGGGGTCCTTTTCTGTTGGTCCATTGTGAAGCTGATGGTTTTTCTTTAACAATGATAGTCATGGGGCTGGAGAGATGGCTCAGAGGTTAGGAGCACTGGCTGCTCTTCCAGAGGTCCTAAGTTCAATTCCTAACACCCACGTGGTGGCTCATAACCATCCATAATGAGATCTGGTGCCTCCTTCTAGCCTACAGGTGTATGTGCAGACAGAACACCATATACATAATAAATATGTAAATCTTTAAAAAAAACAATGATAATCACATCCCATTTCTACTACAGGTCTTGGCTGCAACTTCAAACTTATTTAGCTCCCTTTCTTGACAAACTACACATTTTTAAGATGTTTGCCTGTTGCTCTTTTTCATGTTGACCTGTTGAGAGTAGTTAAAACCCATGTCACAGATTGAATGCTGTCCTGCTATGACATTTTCTCTGCCAAACACATTAGTCTATTACTTTTAAATTCAATTTCCCTCAAGTTTTCAAGACCTAGGCAGAATGCAGTCATATTTCTGCCATAACTGGTATATATATATACCATATAACTGGTATGTCTTCTAGTCCAGTTTCTTGTAAGAATCTGTTTCCTTCCGAAACCTAAGCCAGGCCTTGGCAGTCTTCATTTCTCTCAACTTTCTGCATTCCCATCAGGATGGTCCACTAAGCTATGCTTGCAGCATTTGAAGGCTTTTCTAGTCCCAAGTCCCAAATCTTTGACATTCCTCTCACAACCAGTTCTAACTGACTATGAAAGGCATGGTCAGGCTCATCACGGCTACAGTCACACTTCTCAGTACCAATCGTCTGTATTAATTATGTGTCTTGGGGCTGGAACAAAACACCTCAGGAAAGCAACTTAAGAAAACATGCTTTATTGTGGTTCATAGTCCAAGGTACAGTTCACCAGGGTAGGGAAATCTGGGCCATAGCGATAGGAGGCGCTTGATTATATTAGATTCACAACTAAGTAGCAGAGAACAATGAATTTCTAGCCACTTTCTATAACATGAGGGTTGGCTTGTTGGGGTATCTGTCCCGCCCAGTACCCCACAGCCGGCAAGCCCAAAGAAAATCACTCACAAGACTTCATAAGATTATAAACTGATTGGCCCTTAGCTCTAGCTACTTATTAGCTCTTATAACATATATTACCCCATTATCCTTATCTATGTTAGCCACACAGCTCAGTACCTTCTTCAGCTGGGCAGGTTATATGCTGCCTCTTTGGTGATCTGTGCGGGAATGGAGGAGTGAGTTTCCTGTTTTCCCAGAATACTCCTGATCTCATTGAATCACCTCTACTTCCTGTCTGGTTTTCCCGCCTATACTTCCTACCTGGCCAATCAGCGTTTTATTAAAATACATGATTGACAGAATACAGATAATTCTCTCACACCAACTTTCTCCTTTAGTCAGTCGCAGACCAGACCGCAGTCCGTTGAATGGGGCTGCCCACAGTTATGGTGGGTCTTCTCACCTCAGTCATCCTAACCTAGACACCCCATAGGCATGCCCAGAGGCTAACTTAATCTACATAATAGCCCATAGGCCTGAGACTTACCTTCTGGGTGATTGATTCTAGAAGACAGTATCAACAGTCACAAGTGGGAAAACAGCCAATATATTAATTAACAAAACTCAGCATGGTGGCCCATTCCTGTAATGTCAGCATTTGGGAGGCAGAGGCTGGAGGATTTCAAGTTCAAAAGTTTGAAACCCGGTCTCAAAAACAAATCAAGATATATTAGTGGCATGTGTTTTAAATGATACACTTGATTACTAGGGGCGAAAGCTTAGCAGCACCTATTCGCTGCTCCCCAAGAGGTCTTGGTTTCGCTACCATTTCTGTCTTATAATTAACTGCTTACCTTGAGTCGTCCTCACGGGCCACTGGCAAGCTAGAACAGCGGGTTATCATCAACCAGTGGGAGACTGCCGCGTCCACAGTCTAAACCCTCATCTCCAATTATGAAGACGTGAATTTTTACTAACTCTATAAAAATAGAGTAGGAGATCTTGTTTTTAGAAGAAACAAATGTTCCACTATATTTACATTTCTGACCATGTTTAAAAAAGAACTGGTCATCAGCTTGTTCAAAGCATGTTAACCCAGTGAGTCAATTTTGTTGAGCCATCTTTAAATAGCATCCAGACAACAGACTTGAGCCACTGTCTAAGAACTAAAAGGGGGTATAACGTAGTAATTAAGTATCCTCAAACTATCAGGTCCCCACGCCAACACCGGGAGAATAAAAGCATGGGCATGATCTCCGCCTACAAAGCTTGCAATGTAGACAGATGTGTGCGTGCAAGTTTGATAAATGCCTGGGAAACATTGATATGGATATGTAGTGGATGTTAAGACTTTATCAAAGGCAAAATGAAAATTTAAGACTATTTTAACAACTGCCCAAATAAAGATAACAGACATATTCAACCACATCTTCTGTTCATCTCAATGGTAATTATGGCAATTATAGAAAGAAATTATGGCAGTTATTGTCCCTTTCCAAGGCAGAAGAACTACACCTGGGGCTGGGTATAGTCTTCTGACTGACCACTAACCAGGCTTACAAAGGAGCAGCAGGTGTAAAACTTCTGCTCTTCCCTTACTATTTTGAACATAAAGGAGTCATGCTGGGATGGCAGGTCTTGAAGGTCAAATAGCCTGCCTCTGCCTCCAGAGTACCGGTGCTCAACTGGGAGCTACATTTTAAAAAAAGACAATGAAACAGAATATGCAGGTGCTGAGAAATAATGTCATTGAAGAAAAAGAGAGATCTCACTAATCCTGCCTGCCCCCTTCTGAGTTTATCCTCTGGCCCTCACTTCTCTTCCTCCTGAGTCTCTAGTCCACTGTGTTCACTACCTGTGAAAATCCTCAATCCACCTACTTGTCCTTCTGTTTGCTTAGAAAAATTCCAAACTACTTAAGTGTTTTCTGCCCCCCTCTCTCCATTCCTTCCTGCCATCTTTATACCAGACACAGGAGGAACAATAAAGTTGAAGTCATTGATTTCAGTAATTGAGCCACGAATCTCAATGGCTCCTTGTAGCTGCCTGGCAAAACCACCTGCTTAATCCTATCATCTTCCATTAGCCTACACAACTAGTTGAATTTTCAAGCTCCTCAAATGTCCAGCAGCCTTCTCGGCAACTCACTTATTATCAGTAACTATACTTAAATTGACCAAGAAGCATTTAGGAATCAGAACTTCTAAAACTCTCACTGTATCTGCCACCCTAAATTTGAATGCATGCATAGCTTCTGAATTCTTTGTTACTCGGTTGCTATGGTTTGAATGTGCTGTCCACATTTCATGTGTTGAAAACATATTAGGGTCAGAAAAAGGTTTAAGAGCGATCTGATCTAGCACACCTGTGCTAGCTCCCACCCCTCCCCCCATAGGATGTACTCTGCTGTAGTAACACAGCAGTGAGACCTTTATTGGTTTGCTGGCACCATGCTTTTGGACTTCTCAGCCTTCAAAATCATAAACGAAATAAGCCTCTATTGTTTATCAATGACCTAGTCCCCAGCATTTATACCCTTGCCCAGCTATAAAGGTATGCTCAGTAGACAGCCTCCATCGATCACCTACTTCAAGATCTATAAAGTTGTTATCATTCCTGAACTCATGCCTTCCTGGAGCAGCCTGTATGCAAGAACCGAACAATTTTGGGGGCCAGCATTCAGGAATCTTGTACTGAAGAGCAGTACTCAACTCCAGGGGTGGCTGACGATTTGTGGGATCAGCTCCACTCTTCCTCTGCCCCATCTTGCTTTCTTCATTCCTCTCACAGTTCTTGACGACTTAAAAAAAATATATTTAGTGCTCCAATTCTGCCTTTGCCCACACAGAACCCAACCTGACAAACCTACGTTAGTGGTTCGAGCTGCTGGCCCTTCTCTCCACTGCATCATCAATTTTAACCTCTACCAATTCAATCCTAGCACAACATAGTCACATTTTCCTCTTAAAAAAAACAGAGTCCCTTTGAATTCCTGCTCTCTTGGACCCACTGGAAAGTCAAATTCCTTCGAAGTGTCTGAATTCCCTTTTGTCCACTTGGCTCTTTATTCCCACTCCCGATACCTTTATACCCACTACCTAACGGAGACAGCTCTGCAGGGTCAGAGAATGTTGTTATATTTAGGTCAATTCTCTGTTCACGTCTCACCCAATTGGTCACTCTTTCCTCGGAAGACAGTTTGTCTTCCTGGCTTCTGGGACCCAGCTTTCGATTCTCCTCCACCCCTGGCTATTGCTGCCCAGCTGCTTGGCTAGCTTGCCCTCCTCTCTTGAACCCATAAACCCTGGAGCAGTCAGAGACTGTTTTGAAATTATCTCTCCTTGCTGCTTCTATCAATTTCTCATCGCTACTTTTATAAATTCTGTTTGTGACATCGTCCAGTGTCAGATCTTTAAACATCAACTACATGTTGCAGCTGCTAAATTTACTATCCTGAGCTACAGCTTCTTCCTTCAAATGCTAGATACTCATATCCAACTGTTTATTGGCATTTTCCATTTTGATGACCATAAATCTCAATCCTAACATATCTAAAATAAAGTAAATCCAGACCTCCCACAAAAAAATTCCTCCCTAAAAAAAAAAATTACAAAATTTGCCTATCCCATTTCTGTAAGTCTTCCCCATCCCAATAGGTCCTCTGTTCTTCCAGTTGTCTGAATCAAAACCCAGTAATCATTGATTTCTTACTCATTTCCCACATCCAGTAATTTAGATAATTCTTCAGAGCATACCCCATCTCTCTGCTTCCATTCAGAATTCTTTTTCCAAATGTCATTTTATTAACAAAACCTCCCTTAATCATTGACATTTTAAAAGAAGAGTTCACCTGCCCTGCGGGTTCTCCTATCTCCTTAATTGTTACATCACTGCCACACAATATATGCTTGTGTTTGCTCACTGTCTCAACCACAGTCTACTTCAAGATGGCAGGCACGCAGCCCTTCTCCAGCCTCTAGTGATGGACAGAGGAATGAACGAATGAGAATGGTGTCCAAATGAGGTGATGGTCTGAGGGAGGTCAACTACTTGAGCAGAAATATGTGATGGGAAGGAGCAGGTTAACTGAAGATTAACCGGAAAGATGGTATGTATGAATGACAGTCTTGCGTGCGAGACTAAATGGCCGACTATGTCAGAGAGCTGGCAGACAGAGGTCAGGAGCTGGGCTATGTAGCATCTTACACATTGTGAGAAGTAGTTTGGAGGTTATTCCAAGTATGATAGGGTCATAAGAGGTTTTTAAGGAAGAGAGTGTCAAATTAAACAGAATCACTTTGGCTGGGGTGTGAATAGTAGCAGGCATGTTAGTATTTGGAAGGCTGTGCTGCAGTCCAAACTGTCTCAGAGGAGAGTGCATGGGATGTGAGCGGAATCAGCAGCATGATGACCGACCTAAGGTCCGAATGAAAGCAGAAATAACTGGGCTACCGACCCAAGGTCCGAATGAAAGCAGAAATAACTGGGCTTTGCTTCACTAAAAAGCGACACAAGAGAAAAAAAAAAAGTCTGAATTTTGTCCTGCAACTTGGACTCCATTGCCACAAATGTAACTAATATTTCCACCAAATGTGTAGGATTAAAAAAAAATCAGTTGGGCAGCCAGTGTTCTCGGGGTAGGGAGAAAATGAAGCCACGCATGTAGTAGAGCACGTGACTTAATGTGAGTTTTGGAAGAGAGGAATCTAAAAAGCGGGTGGGGTTTCCCTAGAATTCGGGGCAAGAGGGTGTGAACTGGACAGATACCCGGTTTGCATTACAGGAAGGAGAAACCTACGGGGAGAGAAAGGGGAAGAATGACTGTCCCTTTCATGCACTTGTGTGAAACCTATTTACGTCGCTGGTGGTGTGAGCACTTAACGTAGTGGGTCCATGACAGGGTGCCCTGTACAGGCCAGGCGAATCCTCACAAGTAGGTCACATTTGGGAGCCTTCCTCCTGAACGGCCTCTAGGAGGCAAACGAGATGGCTCCCGGTCCAAGCCCCTCCACGTCGGTGAAAGCGACTTCTGCGGATCCCGTCAACTTTGTCATCTCCAGCCGCCACCCGTCCCTCGGCGGCCCAGGACGGTCATCTTCTCCCGGGAGGACCAGAGGGCGACGGGCAGCTCTCAGGCCCCCTAGCGCCCGTCCGAGCAGCGCGGAAGCCCCGCTCGCACCCGCTAAGCCGAACGCCCACCGAGCCCGCTTCGTCCCGCCGCCCAAAGCCCCCCGCAGGCCCACCCGGGACGCGGCGGG